TTAGAGCTAAAAAAAAAACAAAACAAAACACTGAAGTCTGCAGCGTCTAAAATCATATAAAATGTCTCTTTTTATGACAACATGTACATTTTTGTTTGTAGATCTGACTAAATTTCTGAAACACTTGGCTGTTAAACGTGAGCACTGTTTCCGTCAAAATGAAGAATTGCAACCATCTCTTCAGTGACTGTGATTTACTTTTTCATGTCAGCTCATGGAAAGTCGTTGGGTTCAGTTATTATTGCTGTTCGCCACAGTTTCCATGCTTGGAAGATCAAGACCTCTTTGCCGCTAACCAAGACATGAAGCTCCCAGCATCTACAGCTCCGAAACATTGATTTCTGAACTCTTCCTGAGTGAAAACATTAGTATTGTTGTTTCTTTGCATTATTTGAGGTCTGAAAGCGCTGCATGTTTTTCATCATTCTGTCCACTTCTCATTTTCTGCTAATAAATACTCAATTTTTGCTTGGAATTTTAGTGATGTGTTGTCAGTAGTTCATAGTGAAAAAGAAAAATGTTCATTTTGCTCAAACACATACGTATAAAAAGTCAACATCGAAGAAACTGATAATTGGTCTCATTTTTTTTCCAGAGCTGGATTGTGAAACACAAAAGTATCGCTGTTTGACAGCATTCAGAGAACTCAGTCCAGTTTAGATACAAAAAAAAAGGAAAAAAATGAGTAAAATGACAGATTCATCCACTGAAAACACTGCACCAGTTGTTTAGCACGGCAGTGGCAGCATCATGTCGTAATGCCGTTTTGCTGGCCGTGGAAATGGCACCAAGCAGAAAGATGTAGTAAGAGAAGAACCGCAAAAATAAACATAAATAAGCTCAAATAATAATACAGACAGCTGGAAACTTACTGGATGCTCCAGGAGAACTTCGACCTCCAGAATTTATACATTTTATCACCACAACCACAACTTTATTTGGATTTTAAATTAATTAATTGTAAAGTGGGAGGAAAAGCATTCAAGTAGATGGATATTGGAGTTGATGAGGTGCTTGGAAAGAAAAAAAAATATTTTCACCAATATGTGTTTTTCCCCCCCCACTATGATGCCTTTTGTTGGTCTATCTCAACAAAACACACAGAAATTTGCTGTTCCAACGTCATAAAATGTGGATAGAAAATTGAGAGACGTGGCCACTCACCTAAACGTGAGAGAGAATCTTCCTGATCACAGTCAAATTAATTCGATCAAGCCTCAACTAGCAGGAGAGCATTTAAAGCCGGACGACATCAAGCCGCCACCAAATCTATAGTGCGCGGGCAATCCGTTCTGCTGATAAACAGGATTCTTTCTGGGCTGCTGCACATTTGTGTCAGAGGAGGTGCCAACTCACATCTACAACTTCTGACAGACTCTGACAACTCTTTCCAACACAGCTCCTCACGTCTGCAATCTCGGATGCCAAGTATTTAGTTAAGTGTATCTTTTTTCTTTTTTTTTTGGACTGCTCCTCGAGTAACAAGGATATGATTAATAGGCTTCCACCGCTTTTAGAGATCCAACCTTATCCAAGAGAGCAGAGGGAGAAGGGGAGAGAGAGACAGTGGAAAAAAAAAAAAAAACACCCAAAACTTGGCTTTGGCTCAGAGCATCACTAATTGGATACTTCAGAGATTTACCGAATTAATTTCTACCTCTATTAAAGTTGCATTAATGTTACAACTTGGCTGTAATGAAGATCCACGTGTAGGAAAAAAGAAACGTTTGCGTCACCGCTGCGTCTCGGAGAAACGGCGCGACGCTCAGTCACTGACAGGCGGGTAACATAATGACGCCTCCAATGGCCTCCGGTGGGTTACAGTAAGAGCAGTGAGGCTGCGCAGGCTTTCTGCAGCTGCTCCTCCCTGTAGGCTCTGCAACGCTAATCCCTGTCTACATGTATGTTCAATGATTTATGGTCATAATAACCCAAAAAGAGGATTAAGCTAATTAAACCGCAGCTCTGTGCTTGTAATGAACACATCGGGAGGGAATACAACACCCCGCATTTATACCACACACACACGCGCACACACACACCCACACACACACACACTGAGAGGAAGAGAGAGCTGCAGTGTCTTTAGGGTGTCTGCTTTTTATTTTCCCCAGCAAATGACTGCCTTTAAAAGCTAATCGTCGGTTAGCATGACTCGACAGCTGAATCATCTGATTACAGATACTGCAGGCGGCAGTCATGCTTCCAGATGACTAGTAGCTCCATTCTGGATTAATATAATGGAGCTACAGAGGCTGGTTTTTTTTTCCCCCTCTTCTCTCCCCAGGTCCTCCAGGTGCAACCATGGGAGTGGAAAACCAGACCTGAAGCCATGCCGTGGTTTTAGGGGTCGCATAAGCATGTAACACGCTGGATTAATGATGCCAAGGTTGCTAGTATTAATCCAGCGCATGTCTGCAGGCTGTGTGCTGTGAACCTGGGGAGACTGCTAACACTGGATGATGACAACTGGAGGACATGAAATGCATTAGACGCCGTAAATTGATGGTGCAGTTAAAGCTAAAGTTGAATAATGCTGGCTTTGGGCTGTGTGTGTGTGTGTGTGTGTGTGGGTGTGTGTGTGTGTGTGTGTGTGGGCGCCTGGGAATCATGCGGCTGATCTGTGATGGGCTCAGGCTAAAAGATCAGAGTGGAAAACAGACCAGTGGGTAGCTGAGAACCAGCATGTTACTGGTTAACAGTGCAGTAAACAAACAAAGAAAAGAAAAACAGGCAGAAGTGTAGATACACTCGTTTTCAGCAAGAGTGTCATAAATGTTTGGGTTTTCAAGGATGCTTTTTTTTTCAATGCCGGATGACTTGAATTTGTTGTAGATTTTCTCAAATGAAAAAAAAAAGAGGCTTCAATACATTTATGTACGTCAATATTTGGATAAATGCCTCTCAGCAAGTCGCAGTAAATTTTTTTCCCTGCTGCCCACACTGGTGTTGGAGCCGTTTCAGAATCTTGAATTGCAGCTTCGCCCATTCCACGACCAGTTTATAGTTGTGTGTTTGGAGCCACTGTCCAAAACTAAGCATCACTGATGGTTGAGAAGTGAATGAAACAGCATCAGCAAAGACATGTGGTCACAAATTCTCTGCATGATTTGTGCGAGGAATTTGACAGCAGCAACACAAATATCTGGTCCGATTGCAAACTGCTAAGAGGATTATATCTATTATCATTCCACGCCAAACAAGAACAGTTCAAATGCTTTAATAAAAGACACTGTCGAGTGTATGTAAGCCTCTGACCAACACCATATATGGAGAAGCAATTTTGAAAAGCCTCCTTTTAGGACTCAGACATGGACTTTAACCAAAACAATCCACATACTGGATGCCTTTTGTTTTAAATGGCTGACAATGAAAGCTTCATTTCTCCAGAAGCTCCCGAACTTCAAAATGAACGAACTCCCTGAAAACGCAAAACATTTTGGAGCGGTCCTGAATCTGACGGAAGACCTGCGGACAGAGTTGAGGTTCGGGCTCCTTCAAACCTCGGAGACATGAGGAGTAAGATCACCATAACGCCAACAAAGACTATGACTCTGATTACTGAGAAAGACAAACTCTTTTCATTATGAAAACTTCAAAAGATTCAGGTTTCCTGTTAAAATCTATTTCTATTTTCCACGTTGCGTTATCTACTGAGGAACCATTACCTTTATTTCTGTTCTTTTACTTTGAGTTATCCCCCTCCGTCACCTCTCTTGTGCGTCTTTCTTGTACCAGAGCTCCTCTCCTCTCTTAGGAGGCGGTGGCTTCCTGCCCTGCACACATTAGCCCTGTCTGTGCTCTGTCTGAGGGTCACTGAGGGGGCAGCAGCAGCAGCACGTCAGAGTCACTCCAACACGGCTGATTTGGTACAGTCGTTTAGTGCCAGTATATCAATCATCAGGTAATTACTGACGCCTCACCGTTTGACCCTGTAGCTGCCGTATTAAAATGGAGATAAATACTCCTGGAGGATCATGTGAGAAGAAGCGTGATCTAAATCTCTGTAAGAGGCTCAAACATCTGGTGGTTTTTTGGGGTTTTTTTTTCCTCCCCTCTCTTCCATGGATTTATCCCGCGGTCCCAACACTGGGATGGATTTAAGTTTGCCTGCAGTACAGAGCAAACAGAGGGGCAAGCACGTTCACGAAGTGACCACTGGGTCGCACGGACATCACCGCCTCGTCTCGATGAAGCCATCGTCTCTGTCTGCTGTGGTCCGTTTTGAAAGTTTTCACGTCTGTGGAAAATGTTTATCAAGGAGAACGAGGCCAGACGGCAGATGTTTGACTTGTGCACCATGGGAACAACAATCACCAGTCGCTTTATTAGGTTTATTACATTGTTTACAAGTTGGGCTCCCTGTTAATTCCTCTGGGAAGAGGTCCACCAAGGTGTGGCAACCATTTCCCAGAGATTTTGATCAATTTGGACTTGGCCTCTCGCCGTTGCTGCAAGCCAACAGCGAGACCCTTTCATTTCAAAATATCCCAAAAGAGTTCTATGAACTTCCGATCCAGTGACTGTGGAGAAGCGTGAACTCACTGAAAAAAAGTTTGAGATGCTTCGAGTTTTGTGAAATAGTCCCTCAACCAGCAGAAAGTAGCTATCAGAAGTCAGGTCATTTGAGGTCACAGAGGCAGGGTTTATGAACATCGACAACGCTCTGGTGTTTAAATGACGCTCAACAATAACAAAAAAACATCACACCATTACACCAACACCAAGTCATGTTAACAGCTCTAAATGCTTTGAGCTGTTAACATGTGATGGACAAACTCTCTATTTGAGGAACGAATCAAGCAGAACAAATACAAATTTCCAAACATTTACCAAAATCTTTTAAAGACTTTTTAAGAAAAACTGGCTAAAATAAGCCTCTAACGGTCAATAGGAACAAATGTAGGCATAGGAAATAAAACTCGTAGTAAGTGTTAATAAAAACTGCAGAATAATTATCAGCTTCTTTAGGACGTTTAAGAAAACATGCAGCCTTTCACCTGTGTGGGTCCTCTGATGTGCCTTCAGATGGGAGCTCTTGGTGTAAACCTTCCTGCAGCCATTGAACTGGCACCTGTGGACTCTCTTCTTGTTCTCAGGAATATCTCCTCCCAGACTTCCACCGCCTCCCTGCTCGCCGTCACTCAGCGCTCCTCCTCGGCTCGGCGGGGAAGGCAACGCACGTGCCGCCACCACCTTGGTCGCCCCTAGTCCCACCTTCTTCGCCACCAGCTTGAGCGTTAGCGTGCCATCTGCCGTGGCGGTCAGCGTCTGTGTGGGCTTAAAGAGGTGCCGGCCGAGCTCCGGCGAAGACGGCGGCGTCAGGGACGTGACGGCGGCGCTGAGCTGTGCGGCGCTGACTCCTCCGAGGACCTGGTCCTTCGTGTCGGTTCCGGCTGCCGCCTGAGCCTTGTTGGGACTGGGCACCTGAAGGATTTTGGCCTGAACCTTGGGGAGGGTTACGAGTAACGGCGGTGGGCTCGGCTGGTCGGGGAGGCTGGGCAGGAGCGGGTCCATCAGGTCCTCATCGCTGTCGCCGCCTTGCATGAAGGCCGGTGTTAGGAGACAGTCCAACTCCTCGTCGAAGAGCTCCGAGAGTCTCTTGGGCTCCGTCTGTAGATACCGCTCCAACTCTAGGCATGTCTGCAAGGAAAGGGGGACACCAAAGTCAAAACCACATTTTTCTTAATCTGCTCTCCCGTTTTCATTCAACTTCATTCAGACTCAACAGGGTTTCACACAAATCCCCACAACTGGTCAGGCAGCTGAACGTTGGGTGAAAGGCCCAGAGACTTTCCAACCAAACGTCCACCTGAACCTGAATCCACACGACCTTTCACATTATGATAACAGTTTCCAAAAGTCAAGGAAGCCTCGCCTCACACAATCTCTCCACACATCTGTATACTCACTGCTCTCCCAGTCTAATTTAACTCGGATATCGGCTGTAGGCGTTCTATTTCTCTGCAGCTGCTGACCATGTCACCTGGCACACGGCAGTCCTGCGAGAGGAGGGATTTATTCTGTGATTGATTGCCGCTGCCTGGACAAGCTCTCTGGAGCCCTGAACTGTGGAGGCCTTGCCTGTTTCCCTCTGCTCAGCCAAATCAACCAGCCGTGGAAGTTATATGGAGAGATAGAGGAAGTGAGGTGACAGATGAAGACACAGAATAATAAGAAGAAAAGAAAAGCAAAGAAAGAGAAGGAGATAATGAGAAAAAATAAATAAATATGAGAGTCTACAAGAACTTCTTTTTTTGTTTTTTTGTTTTTTCCTGCTACACATGATTGGAGCAGAATCATCACAGTTGCTGGTCTACTGGCCCCCCGAGCGCCTTTCATCAAGGGCACCTGAGTCATTACCTCAAGGAATCGGAGCCAGGAAACCTTCCAGTGACTAACTCAATCTTACAACCCCAAGCCTGCGTTTGCCTCTCGAGGCTTAAAATGTTGTTGTTGTTGTTTTTTTTTTGTATTTTGTGCCGTCAGTCGACAGCGCTCCCGAGTTGTACAAGGAACTGTTTGTTTCTGCTTTGATTTTTATTGTGTTTCATTGTCGACATCTACAGCCAATCCCAGTGTTTGACTCTGGCAAAAACGGCTTTCTGCCTATGGCCACAGGGCCCAGGCGGAGCCACGGGGCCAAAAAGAAACAGAACAACAACAAAAAAAATAGTTATTGGGCAGTAGCAACTGTATTGGACTTTCCATTGCTAATACACTACATATGTGGCATCCGGCGTAATTACTGAAAGAAAAAATTATGTAAATATTCATATTAATTCATACCACGGCGACGTCTGATTCATAGCTTATGATTCAATCTGATTACTCCACACTGAGATGAGAGAAATCGACATATTCAACTAACATGTGACCAGTGGTATTTTAATTCTCAGTGTTTTTTGATAAGATGCATCGTTGTTTTGTTTTCAAAATTTGCTAGTAACATATTTGTGTCTGCCAGGAGACACAATTATTTAATACACCAAGTTTAAGAGATGGAGGTAAAGCTTACAGAGATGTTTCACACAGAGCTAACCTGATTCTTATCTTATGGTATAATAATAATAATAATAATAATAATAATAATAATAATAATAATAATAATAATAGATCTGATCGTAATTGGAGGCAATGGAAGCAAAAACAATGATTGCAGGGAAATGAGTTCATTTTCATAAACTCATGCACCCACCACATAAGAAACGAGTGCAGACATTGTCCGCACCTTTCAGTATTTTTACTTGCATCCCATTCAATGTACCTCAGTAACATCACTCCAACAATTTCATATTATACTGTGCTTAATACAGATAAAAATGTGCTATCAGAAATAAAGACTGCTGCAAGCTAGGTGACGGCAACAATCCCCAGAATCCATGCGCCGCCATCAACCTCTCATGAGGCTTTCAGCAAATCCCGCCAAAAATGTATCCAAAAGGTCGATGTTCTTTTCGATTCAATTGTTTTCATCCCCATCCTAAGGCCTGTTCTCCTCCTCGGTTCACGTTGATAAATTCTAAATCAGCCGAAGTATCTTAAGCTTTCTACCGCTAACGTAGAGCACGACGGATTATGTGCAGCTGCAGGAACAGACAGACGTGCAAACCCACAAGTCAGAGTCTGCTGTACTTTTGTTTTTGACCAGCACACTCTGAGTGATATTTATATGTTTTTAGTGACATTTCTAGATGTAGTTGGACGTTCCTGCAGGTCATTCAGCCATCCAGTTTATAAAGTTAGCTCGGTGCCAAACTTTGCTCAAATGCTGTACTGTTTTTTTGTTGTTGTTTTTTTCCCACACTGTAAATTATTATTATTTTTTATTGAACACATTGAAGGGAAATTCTGATCACACAGCTGCAGTTATTTTCTGAAAGGCTTCCCTATCCGTTGTATCAAGTGGCATCGCCGGTTAACTCTTTTGTTTTCTTACCCCTGGAGAACAATAAGTTTCATTTTGTTATTAGCTCATATTAGTCTAACATTTCTCAGTTGTTCCTCTATTTCTTGGGTCAAACGATCCACATCGCTGTCAACTCAGCACTTTCCCGAAGCCCCGAGTCTCTGCTTGTGTCCGGCCGCTCACCACTTCCTTCTTTGTGCCCTCTTGGAAAGAGAACCTCGTCTTTGGCCGAAGGCCGTTGGCAGCCGAGGGTTTTTACACGGATGCCCGTGGCTCACCATGCACGGCTCGTTCAAACAGCTGCCACACCAACGTTTTTCCTGCGTTTTCTCCGCGGCCGCGTGGCTCCGTCTATTCAGCTTTGCAGCTTTGCTGGGCCGTGTCGATGAGACAAAACCAACATATTTCATGTTCACGTCTGTCGACTGACGATAAGCTGTTTCCTTTTTCCCCTCCCCTTTCTCCTCATTTCTTAAGGATGCTCATTTGCATATGAATGTAAATCAAAAGATATTTCTTAGCAGTGGACACTGGCTCATGAGGATATGTAAACGATGATAAGAGCGTGTGGAACAATGTCTTTTGGAAAACGAATACTAAGGGGGGCAAAGCGAGCCTGCTTGGCCTTTTTTTTTTTGTCCAGACAGTTGCTTTGCTTTGTGAGCATTTGTGTTTCTTTCATTAATCTCTGGCTGTTGTACAATATCTAGTCAAGTATACAATATGAAGCTATTGTGCTCGTCTTCATACGAGCTTGTTTGCTATGAAAAAGACCCGGAGACCAACAGGAGATGATTAATTAGCCGTCAGATTATCTGGAGACAAAGTTAAACAAGACAAGGCGGGAGTCAGAGCGTCGTCACGTGTTGGCGGGGATTTACAATAAACGACGAAGCCAAATGAGATTGTTGGAGATTTAAGCAGCAATCGGAATGTGGTCAAACTGTGATCTCCTTGTATTTAGTTATTTTACACGCCAATGAGAAACGGTCCCATTTATTTGTTTACTAACCAATTTTCAATAGCCAGTGTCTCCAGTTATGCTCTATTGGTGTGCAGCTTCCCCAAAGCAAATTGCAGTATTTCTTCACTCCTCAATCAATAAAGAAATAAATAAATCATGCATTCTTCTTAGTGTTTACCTAAATATAAATGTGTGAAAAATGTGCAAAATCATGTCTGAAAATTGGAGGTCCTCGCCGAATGTTGCGCACTATTGTGTCCCTCCAACAAACTTAGCGTCTGGCTTCATTTTTCAGTTGCTGAAAACATAAACCTCGCAATGGCACATGAACTGGAGTATTTTCCAGGGCTTGATGGTGTCGAGAGAATGTGCAGTTTTGACGTCACTGTGGAATACTGCGATCGGAGAAACAAGAAATCCCACACCCTACTTTCCTTCATGTGTGAATCTGAATATGTATCAGACGTGGGCATCAAGGGCAGGAAAACGACGACAAACTGGCCAAATATATATTTCCTCATATTGTATGCAGAGCATGAGTGCTTGCAGCTTGTAACGTTGCATTAAAGCGCGCTGGTGGGATTTGTGATTTTGCACACATTGATATCAAGATGATTGAGTTGGTATATTGTGAACGTACTATGACTCGTTACCCAAAATAACCTCAGAAAAAACAAAACAAAAACGTTTGCATGATTTAGGTGCCTGCTTCCTACTGATCATATGCAAAACATTTCCAGGCAACTGAGGTTCTTCTTTTTTAGGTTGTGGGAAAGTATCAAAAATTGCTGCAGATCTCCTTTATAAGTCCTGAACCCTTTGAGTTCAGTACATGTTTAATCACCCTCACACACGAGAGCCACAGCCGGCGTAGAGTGGCTTCTCAAAGAATATTGAACCGTCGTTTTAACTCCGAATTGAAAGTAAAAACAGAAACACCTTTGTGTGTCCTGGCAGGGGCCCGAATGATGCTTGGGATTTTGGGGGGAGGGTGAGCTGAGGCAGAGGATAGAAGGAGCCTGAGGGGGTGTGAAAAGAGAGAGAGAGAGATCAAATCAAACCCATAGACGGCGGTGAACGGATCGACTCTGACATCACGCGTATGACCTTCTCCTTCGTCTGTTTCTCCTACACACTGTGAATATCGGGTAACAATGACATGCAGAGCTTGTGTGCGTGTGTGTGTGTGTGTGTTTGCGTGTGTGTTTTAGAGGTTTGGTTGAGATTGCATCTCTTAAAATATTTCTGTGAGGGTTCAGGTGAAGATAAAGGTAAGAGTTTACTTTTTTTTGAGAAATAAGCATTCAAATATTATATATCCCCATATGGATGAGTTTACACCAATGTGTGTGTGTGTGTGTGTGTGTGTGTGTGTGTGTGTGTGTGTGTGTGTGTGTGTGTGTGTGTGTGTGTGTGTGTGTGTAGCTGCTGGCCAACAGCTTAGACTGATAGCATGTATAGGGCGCACCTCCTGTTCTGTCCCATAACATATGGAGAAAGGTCAAGTCAAAACACACACACACACACGCACACACACACATACACAGTCGCATAAGGGCAGAAAGTGGATTTCAACAGTTTGGATGAAAACACTGAAAACTGGCTATAAAAACCAAACAAAACTCCTTTAGAACAAAACCATAAACCTTCCAGACTGACTCAGTGGCAGAGGGCGCTCAAACTGGAAGCCAAATTTACAACAAAAAAAAACCAAAAAAAGAAAGAAAGAAAGGGAAACACTGTGTACAAATGATTTAAGCAGGTTTTGCT